GAAGTGTATAACGTCGAACGAAAGAAAAACATACAAGACACGGTGAAAACACAAAACTCACATGTCCTTATTAACAGTCTGAGGTCAGAGCCAGCAAACACATCCAACAGAGGTGATCCAAAATACGTAGTCCAGAGGGAAGTCCGATATCATACACTGTGGCAGTCTGAGACAAGAGGGCAAAGCAGAAACGAATATACCAAGGTAACAGTCCGGGTCAGAAACACAAGATACAAAACCGAAGGAAAGCTGGAGAGTCAGAGCTGCGGTCTAGAACAATCTGGCAGCGCCGTTGTGGGAGGACGCTGCCTAAATAGAGGTATAAACAATAAGGAGCAGGCGAAACTAATGCGAGTGATGAAGAACGTAAAAAGACCGAAACTAAGGTGAAAACAAAAACAGGAAGCAACGTCAAAATAAAAGCTGGACCGAATCATGACACATAGCCTGTTAATAGAGAGAGGTTAATCAGATCTAGTATGGATGTGTTGATTAGGGGAAAGACGTCTTTGAGCAGCCTGGTCGGGATGGGGTCCAGGAGACATGTTGATGATTTAGATGAAGCAATTGTTGAGGTCAACTCAGAGAGATCTATAGGGGAGAAGTAGTCCAAGTATAAATGAGGTCTTACAGATGTTTCTAAAGCCATTGTAGTAGATGGCACATCTGCGAGAGCTGTGGAAGTGGTCCGACCATAACTGCCAGCCATGAATGAAGATTACTTCATTTGTATAAATCATCCACAGGCTGTATAACTATGAACCACTGACTCCACTGCGGATGCTGCGTGCCAGTGTTTATGGACGACTGGTTTGTGTGAGGGGAACGGTGGTCAGAGTTGGCAGTATCAGACCTTTCTGTACCAGGATGGCCTTCAGGTGCCTGACCTGCTCACACACGCAGTCTCTGGCTCTGCAGCATGGGAAATATGCTACACCTACCAAAGTTTGTACACTCAAACACGCAGTTCCATGTACATTTTGGTGCAACTTATTTGTCTGTACTCTCATGTTTAAACTCTGACAGCATAGTATACACAAATAATGCTGTAAACATATATACAGTTTCCTCAAAGGAAACAAACATAACCATCTTTAAGAGCATTACTTAGATTTACACATTAACCCAGCAGTTTTACTGTGTGTATGTATATCCGTCCTTTATCACCTAGTGTATCCAGCTTGAGTGCCGTGGTCATTCCTTCACTCCCATCAGAAGTTCCCCTCTTACACAGACTGTAGACTGGCAGGTTATCAAGTAAGTAAAACCGTGTGCATATGTCCTGTATGCAATGGAACAGTCAGCAGTACAAAACTGTTGCAAGACATGGCCAGATAAAGTCCTTGTTGCAGTTGTTAGTTTAGGGTTTAAAACAATGTCATGTATTGTCTCCAGCAGTTGTCTAGGGAAGACCTTTTTAAATTGTTTTCTAATCATAAGAAGATGTACCATTTAAACTTAGCTGTTTCTCTGTTCAGAAACAGTGAGTAGGGGGGACATTAGATGAACATCTGGAGTTATGTTTGGCCATAGAAATACAGCAACTCCTGTATCAGAGTGGCAGCTACTGCATCACCAATGTGCACTTTACACAACATGCATATTAACAGTGGCACAAAATGTTGTAGTGGAAGGTTATCTCTAATAGAAAGTGACTGTTGTAAGAAATGAATGGATTCTGATACAGGTATGTAGTGCATCTCCAATCCTGAGTCACCACTGACATGCATTCATTTTGGTGCTACCTCAGGTTACAGGAGTTGATTGGTGGAGAGCAGAGGGAGACTGGACGAATCCCACGCACTGTGGAGTGTCACCTCACCTCTGACCTCTGTAACACCTGTGTCCCTGGAGACGCTGTTACTGTGACAGGAATAGTTCGAGTTATCAATGATGGTACAAACACTCAAACATGTATTCTAACCAGTTAGGGAGGTTAAATTTGCCTGCAGCAGCTAGTAATGTGTCAAATTCTATTAGCTGTATCTATATATGTATAGTATAAACTAAACCTGTATCCTAAGTATGGGTCTTCTGAAGGGCTCTTCTGCCTTCACAACCATTGCTGTTATGGCCAGAAGCAAAGTCCAAACAAAAAACATGCTTATTGTTTGTATGCAGGAAGTTCCCGGGGGAATAAAGATCAATGTATGTTCCTCCTTTACCTTGATGTCACTTCAGTCAGTAATACTAAAGGTACTGTAGCTTGTATTTTTTAAAGTTGGACTTTAGTTCTAACTGTAGAAAGCTGTTTTGTTTTTAATGTAATAATAAGGAGTTACTTCTCAATGTGTAGGTCAGCAGTCCAAGTCAGGAGGTCAGGGGTCAACAGAGTCAGTTGAAAATTGTTCTGTATGGGAGGAGTTCAGTCTGAAGGAGCTGTATGCCATCCAGGAGATCCAGGCACAGCCCAGCCTGCTGAGACTGATAGTGCAGTAAGATATTTATTACCTATCACATGTTTTAAAAGTTACTGCATGTTCTTACATTATGACTGCTAGTTTGAACATGTCTCCAAACATTATACAGTTTCAAGCTGAGTCTTTAGGCCAAACTCAATATTTTTAGCCCCAGTTAGTGGTAAGGATCTTGCATCTTAGAATTTGTCTTCATCAAACTATTTTGTTTTATTATGTAATAAACATCACAGGACTGCTTCTGTGAGTGCAGATTTTTAATCCTTTACTACTGTTTAGCGCTGTGTTGTTATGTCTTACCAAGATATATAACACTCTGATCTTCCCTCCTCTTTCAGCTCTTTGTGTCCTGTCATCTACGGCCATCTGGTGAGTTGTGTGATGCACTCCACTTTTAACAACAGTACACATAACGGAAATTTCATCCCATGTTACAAAGAGAAACCGAGTATTTTATGGCATCTTGATTGTCAGAAATCATAAACGTTCAGTCCATCATCCTGTGTTTTTGTGTTCTTAGCTGGTGAAAGCTGCCCTAGTTTTAGCATTATTTGGAGGCAGGCAGAAACAGACAGACAAGAACAGTATCCCAGTGAGAGGAGACCCACACATCCTGATGGTGGGAGACCCTGGAATGGGAAAAAAATACTGTAACGCTGAGTACACACTGAACAGTTTAGAGATTAGTAAAAATAGTCAACAGTGTATTTTCTTACTCTTTTTGCATGTTTCCTTTTTGAAATAGTGATATGTTCTTAGAACCCGTTTCGGTGTATTGATGTAAACATAGTGTTTAGATATGTGTGTGTGTGCTCTTTGTATTTTTCTTTGTGTAGGCAGTGTGTAATGTGGCTCCCAGAGGGGTTTATGTATGTGGTAACAGCACAAGCACCACAGGTAAAATGTCTTAAGTACCACCCTCCTCATATTATGTTATATATGCTGACGGTGACAGCACACTCAAGTTGAGAATTTATGATTTATTCTTTTTAGGACTAACGGTGACTTTATCCCGAGACACAGGGACAGGGGATTATGCTCTAGAGGCCGGAGCCTTGGTGCTGGCTGACCAAGGTAGGAGTGAGAGTGGAAACACTGGTTTAACGGTGTAATAGTGTGTAAGCATATAGAACGGATTTATTATGGTAGCACTGAGGTAATTACACCAAACAACAATGTCTGTTTAACATTGCCCATACTATTGCCCCAATTATGCTCCCGTTTGTTACTGTTTTCTTTCTCTATCTCATGGTCTTCCTTTTCTGGCTTCTCTCCTCTTCCCTTTCTATTCCATTTCTCTGTCTTTTATTTTTAGGTCTGTGCTGCATTGATGAGTTTGATAAGTTGGGCAACCAGCAGCAGGCTCTGTTGGAAGCCATGGAGCAGCAGTCTGTGAGTTTGGCTAAGGCTGGAATAGTTTCCTCTCTGCCTGCTAGAACCTCAGTCATAGCTGCTGCGAACCCTGTTGGAGGACATTACAACAGAGGCAAGACTGTCTCTGAGAATCTCAAGTAAGTTAGCTCAGCAGTTGTCCAGGAAATGAAATGTGGTTTTTAATTACCGCTTGAGGATATTACTGTATCTGTGTGTAACATTTGACTTGTATCCATGTCCTTAGAATGGGCCCGGCCCTTCTCTCTCGCTTCGATGTCGTCTTCCTCCTCCTGGACATCCCAGACGAGTCGCATGACCGCCACCTGTCGGAGCACGTAATGGCAAACAGGGCAGGAAGAGGCAGAACCGCGAGTGCTGTAGTTACCAGGGTCAACAGTGACTTTGAGACCTCGGTTCTACTAGAACACTCAGATATGCCACTTTCTGAACGCCTGGAGGTGAAAAATGGACCCTGCCAAGGAGCACACGGATACCTGTCAAAAATCGTTAAATAATAATATAAATATTTAAAATATATACATTTAAATATAATATGCATGTGTTTATAGATCCCTGCAGGTGAAATTGTGGACATCATTCCAGTATGTTTGTTGAGGAAGTATATCAGCTACGCTCGTCAGTATGTCCATCCCAGGCTTTCTCCTGAAGCAGCACAAACACTTCAGGACTTCTACCTTTCACTTAGATCCCAGGCGCACACTGCTGATGCCACGCCCATCACTACACGACAGCTGGAGTCTTTAATCAGGCTAACTGAGGTACGTTTCAGTGTGTCGGTATGTTGTGTATCACACCTCACAACATGCAAAGGATTAAGACACTATGTAGCATCTGCTTTTTTCTGCTCTAGTCTCAGCCTCCAGCCAATTGAAAAATATTGCATGTGTCTTAATAGAAAGGAGCATTTTCCCACTAGTGTCCCAGTACTCATGTGGTTCAGTGTGTTTTTGTGCAGGCAAGAGCCAGGTTGGAGCTCAGAGAGACGGCTACCAAGAGTGATGCTGAGGATGTGGTAGAGATCATGAAGTACAGGTGATTCTACAGGGGTCTTAGTGTGTATTAGGACAGCAGCAAACACATGTTCATTATTGATTGATCTGCTCATTATCTTCTCAGTTAATCTGTTGGTTTGTCAACAAATTGTTGATGTCATCAGCCTGTGTTACTACCTCTGATAAACTATACAAAAAGTTAATATACTCATTTTACCATCACATGAGACAAAGAAAAGCGGCAAATACTCTCATTTCAGAATCTGGCACTAGGGCAGATTTAGCATTCATGTCATAAAGTGACTTGAGTCCTGAAAATATTAACCAATAATTTTTCTTTGGATCAACTAATCAAGTATTCAACTAATATGTATGTGTCCAATGATTTTACATTTACATTTAGGGAGTGAAACCTTTATTTGCTGAGGTAACAGTTGTCCACATGAAGCCCTTATCGGTGGAAGCTAAATTTGTCTGATCAGTTCATTTCAGTCCTCAAAGGATTATTTTTAAAAAGCCTTAATTTGAAAAAAAAACATACTGGCTCATAGCAACACACTTCCAAAAACGCATTACAGAACAGATAACTGATGACGTCGTAAGAATAGCAAGCCTTTGTCTTGAATCTGCTCTCATGTGGATTCCTTTATCCTTGTGTTTGCATGTTTTTCAGTCTGGCTGATACATATTCAGATGGCCTGGGCAATCTGGACTTTGAGCGCTCTCATCTTGGGTCAGGCATGAGTCAACGCAGTGCTGCAAAACGACTGGTCAACGCACTGCACTCACACGCTCAGAGGACCAGTCAAAAGCAGTTTGATCTACAGACACTCCGATCTTTGGCCGACAAGCTGAACATCAAGGTGAAAGCATTCATGTGCACTGAAACACATGCACAGCAGTCAGAGTAACACTAGGCCAGATCTGCATGAGAAGCACACCTCTGTGTCGTTTTCACTGAGTATATGAAATTAGCTACTTAATCTGTGACTGTCCATCTAGGAAAATTTTGCTAATGGAGTTTAAGATGTATTAATATATTTCATAGATACTGTATATGAATGTCACTTTCGACTTTTCCCGTTGTGGGTCGCCACAGCGAATCATCACACTGACTATTTGTATGTTGACATTTGGCACGTGTTTTACACCGGATGCCCTTCCTGACGCAACCCTGACTCAAACCCGGGCTGCAGCAGCAAGAGCGCTGAATCCTAGCCACTAGTCTATCAAGGACCCTCATAGATACTGTCTATAAATACATTAAAGATGGAGCCTTGAACCTGACAAGAAAGAAAATTAAAAAGTGATTTTTGAAATAAAAATCATATCAAAATAAATATACCTTACATTATACAAGATTGGATGTCAGTTTCATCTGAGAGAAACTGGGACTCAAGCACCTTCAGCAGGTCACTTTTCTTTTGGCGTTTCACCACAAACTTGTGTCGTGTCTCAAGTTGTTCTCAGATACATGCAGTACAACCTGGTGTTGCATCTGTTCAACCATGTATTCCTTCCAGGTCATGGACTTTGAAGGTCTGGTGAATTCCCTGAATGAACAGGGTTTCCTGTTGAAAAAAGGAGCCAAGCTGTACCAGCTGCAGACAATCTGATCACTTACAACTACGATACCTGCTCCTAGCTACAGACCTCATTTCAAGGACAGTGTTTGAAGTGAAAAAGTACATATCTGTATGGAAAAGAAAAACTTCATGGGGTTCCATTATCCAGGCTGCTTTCACCAAACCACCAGCCGGGTGGCTACAGTGTGACCCTTTGAAGCTACTTGCAACGACCACAACTGCCAGAGGACAGATCATCTAAACTACTGAAACATCAGAGACGGCATTTGTCTCTCAGCAACCGCATGACTGAGCACAAATGTCCTGCTAAAAAGAGGAACTAAGTTCAGCGGACTCCATATCTCTGCTGAAATTGTCAGCATTTGTTTACACACAAAAAGCTTCAAACTAAAGGCATTATTGACCCTATTGGGGTTAGATTTCAATTGCATCAATTAAATTGTACTTCAGACAAATAAAAGTTGGCATCCCTCCTCTCCAGTAATGTCATGCACCATAAAATACCCTTATCTTAAGGAAGACAGTTTTTCAGCCTTAAAAAAAAAAAAATCTGTTTCTACTTTCTTCTTTTTTTTTCCATGCTTCTCTGCGTTCAGGTCATATTAATAAATAATTTAGGAGCTTGTTGTCCCAACTGGTTTTCCCTTATTTTGGTGACTGTGAATAGAATAGGAAATTGCACTGTGACATTTAAGAAATGTGAAATTTAATTTGGTGAACACTGGAAAAACCCTGATAATACAAATATTTATTATCCCATCTGCTTATGGTTACTTTTTCTATATGCACTTATGAGTTAACATGAAACATTCACTTAATAAATGTTTGTTTTTTAAATAACAGCATTTTGTTTTCTTTTTATACTATTACAAAGATGGGCAGTGATCTTTTAATAATGCTTTTAAAATTAACAGTTCATGTAATAAATATTCAATTTTTTTAACAGCAAGTTCTATAACTTAATTATGTTTGACAATCGTCATGTCAGAGCTATCTGAAGACTTTACTCTGATGCTTTTTCTCTTGATGATGATGAAATGTGTGTCTCAATCACAAGATTATCTATATTCAAAATAAAAGCCCTATTAAGAAAAGTGTCGTTGGCGATTTTACGACATCGTGCAATGAATCGGTTTACGGCAACATGGCCTCGACAAGTGAGTCTGTCGGTTCTGACCGTCAGACTGAACCTGTACCATGAAACCGGGGAAGCACAACACAACACGGTAACGGAGGACTCGTGAAGAAGATGTGTTTTCGGGGACTTTCTGCCTCGTTGTGCCGCAACGCAGCAAGCGTTCGGTGTCTGGTGTCCGCGCGGTGTGCGGACGTGTGTTGGCTCGAGCCTGCATCATGGCGGCGGAGACACACATCTATCAAGGTGTGTGCGAGGTTGAAAACGTCTCGGGTGAGCAGCTCGTGCCTCTTCAGGTTCAAAGGGATAGACAGCCGCGTCGCGTGCTGGAGTGCGACCCTCCAACAGGTGACACCGGCCGCTTGGCACGAACAGGGACCCGTAGCTCTGTTCCCTGGAGGTCACGGGAGGTCGGCGACTAGTTTCCGGTCTCTTCTGCCCCTCAGAGTTCGTGGACTTTGTAGCGGAAAGACAAAAGAAACACAGGACAACTCCCCGGTAGAGGGGGGGACTGAAGGCGGTGCCGAACCGGGACACGGACCGGTAGAGGGGGGGACTGAAGGCGGTGCCGAACCGGGACAAGGACTGTTTAAGTTCAAAGAGCTGGTGAGTACCGAGCTGTCAGACTGTCAACAGCAGGAAGGTGAAGTAGACAGTCACCTGTTTAAAGTATCAGTGATCGATGAAATCTTAAGAGGTGAAGTAGACAGTCACCTGTTTAAAGCGTTCGACACTATCAGTGATCGATGAAATCTTAAGGTCTCTAGCAGCCTAGCTGTATAAAATAATAAAAATAAAATTATGTTACACACACAAGGTACAGAACCGTATGTACAGTAGTTCACCTACCAGCTTTGTCTAAATAACTTGTTGATGCCTATTAAAATTAATTTCATATTTCCATATGGAATGTTGTGAAGTATAAATTAACATTGTTATGTTCAAGTAAAGTCCTACAGAACTATTCTGTGCATAGACTTAGGCTGACTAGGCACTACTGACTAGGATGTCAGCTGACATCAGTCCATTACAATTAACAAGGAATTACAATACAGAAATATGAATTTTATTTCAGGTAATCTAGAGACGATGTCATAGTTACACATTTTGTCCACCGGACATCACTTACCTGTCATCCTCCCCCCAGTCTGTACAGGAGACACAGTCACACATTTTTCTCACATGAACCTCAGATTCATAGGCTTAGAAAAGGTTGTGGCTTATTTACCTGTTGGACTATTACTGTAACTGTTTCCTCACTGTTGGTTTATGGACACGTGCATATCTGATTGTTCATTCTGCAGTATGAAAACCCATGGACCATCCCCAACCTGTTGTGTATGTGTCGGATTGTGCTTGCTCCAGTCCTGGGTCACCTGGTCATCCAGCAGCACTTTCACCTCAGCCTGGCTCTGTTTACTATCGCTGGAGCTACTGATCTGGTAATACAGATATTGTGCAGTCACTCTGCACACCTCTACACTACTGACTTTTCAGTTGTGTAGCTGTGGAATTGGTATTTTTTCCAGCCATCTCTCTCTTGGCTGTGCAGTGATGTTGCCAGTGGTATTGGCCCTTTCACACACTGCTGCCCACGAGCAAGAGCGCTCCTTGTGCTGATTGTCTGGAATTACCTGGGCCAACCCAGATCTTTATTCCACCATTTACAGAGCTAGGACTCTATACACACACAAGGTATTCTGAATGAACTAGCGGAATGGGCAGCAAGAGCAACATGAGAAACTTTTGCTGACAAAATGTGTAATGAATTAGAATCTTGGCCTATACCTTAAAACATCATTTGTCAAACTGCCTCCATCTCTTGCTGTCTCTTTCTCTCTAACTCAGTTGGATGGTTACATTGCAAGAACGTGGCCCACTCAGAAGTCGGCGCTGGGCAGTGCACTCGACCCACTGGCTGATAAAATTCTCATCAGTATTTTATACATCAGTCTCACCTATGCTGAACTTATACCAGGTAGTAGATTCAGCATTTTCTTTTGTACCCCCTTTTTTATTCTTAGTTTGTGTTTAAGACAACTAAAATGTAACTTAATTATCAGTGACAGTAGAAGAGCCGTTACAGTAATCATGTTTTTCATCTTACTCTGTTTCATGCGACGGTTCTAGTGGCAGTAGCAGAGTTTAACCAGATTGTGCGTTTTCTTTTCCTTTGTTATAGCTCCACTGACGGCCCTGGTGATTTTCAGAGACATCGGTTTGATAGCTGCTGTGTTTTGGGTCAGATACAAGACTGTTCCTCCACCGGTGAGACGCATTATGTTTCACTCTCAACACCAGCCAACCTGCCAGATGTTTAGTGAATTTGATAAGCTCTGTTACCGTGACCATACAGTTTCATCCTCTGTTTTTTCAGGTGACACTTAATAAGTTTTTTAACCCCTACTACACCACAGCACAGCTCAAGCCCACACTCTTCAGCAAGGTGAGAGACACACACATAAATGACCACCCACTTTCACTGATCTTCAAATGTTTTGTACATGGCTGCATTAAAGTGGAGATTTTAGCAGCACTAGAGCCTTACAGAATAACGTGTAATGACTATATTTATTTTCTTGCTCGTTACAACCTGTGCATGGCAGTGACACACACAGAACCTGAGAACCTAGCACAATGCTTTAGAGTCTGCACACAGTCATGGGTTTAATGTCATTTTAATGAAAAGTTGGTGGATTTCCAGGTAGAAGATGTATTACTGAAATGTATGCATCCCAGGTTTTTCCCCAGTTTTAATATACAGTGGGTACGGAAAGTATTCAGACCCCCTTAAATTTTTCACTCTTTGTTATATTGCAGCCATATGCTAAAATCATTCATTCATTCATTCATTTTCTACCGCTTGTCCCTGAACGGGGTCACGGGGGGGGGCCGGAGCCCATCCCGGCCAGCCATCGGGCGAA